GGCAAAGCCTCACTGAGATCATTTGAGTCATGAGGTTAAAAAATACATTGAAATAAAGCTAAAAAAAATAATTATTTTAAAACTTTTTAAAGAATCAGTCAGTAAACTGGTGAAAACACTGCATGAAGTCAGCCAGGACACCTGACCTGAGAATGAACTCCTCTCTTTCTTCTTTCGGCTCATTGTATTGTGCTAAAGAGGTGAGTTCAGCTGCTGGTCTCAAGATAGAAACAACACACTCCCACTTTTATTATGAGTGGTATTTCTTCCACGAAACAGGTTCCAATTTAAGGCTTCCCAAACAATCCAACTGCCTAAAAAAGATTGTAAAAAGCAGTCTGAATCATGCAAAACATGYGCATCATTTTGTACAGTTTTCCTCTGCTGTAAATTGTCCGCATGCCTTTTTAGCCAAAACAACAATCTGCTTTATTTCAACAGGGAAGTCTGACTGATTGCACTCATTTAAGATTTTCCAGTATGAAAAATGGCCGTCTCTTTAGGCTCAGCGGATCCCGTCCCTGGAGCGGTGCGAGCAGAAGGAAGGATCCAGAGACTCAGCACTTTTACAGCAGCGAAAGAGAGCAGCTGTTAGCTACACAGACGCATAAGCATCTCTTATTTAATGAGTAATACCCTTGGACCGTGTGGATGGGAATACTCAAACACACTCGCGGCTTCTGGAGAGTCGGAGGCAAATAATCAGAATGCAACGTGCTTAGAAAAGATTACAGGCAGAGGAGCAAATATTGAATCTTGCAGAACAAATGAGACCCTCTTTAGAAAGACAAGCCTGTACGACTGTGTGTGTTTGAGGCTGTGGAAGCTATTTGTCAGGCTGTTAACTGAACTATTTTCTGCAGCCGAGTCACAGGATGATTATACTTCTTATCTTGTTTTCCTCCTTATCGGGCTTATCTGCTCTGACTAGAACAAGCCACGCTAGCACAAGCTAATCCAAGGCAGTTCAAGTAGCTCCAGTTGGGTCTGTTATCGGGCGAGAACATGGCGATAACAGAAAACACACCCAGATTCATCTCAATGGTAGTAGTGGAGCCATTCATCAAAGTGGGGCCTTGTCCACTTAACTGCTTGCATGTCTTTAAAATGATTCACTACAACTGTGTGTGTGTGTGTGTGTGTGTGTGTGTGTGTGTGTGTGTGTGTGTGTGTGTGTGTGT